GACCATTGAACCCCTTGAACAATTTCAGATCTGCATTGTAGTGGTCATGCCCGGTTATCTGCTGGAAGGAATGCCCTTGGGGGCAGAGGCAGAGGCCTGAGTCTGCATTTAGCCCCCTTCTTGCTTTCCTAAAGGGCCAGTGTGGGATGCCAAAACCAATTATAGTCACTGTGACCCCAGTGCCCATGACTGAACCCTCAACTCTCAGATGCTGAAAGACTGCAAAGCTGAGAGCTGGTAAGGTCGAGACAGAAGATTTCCTAGAAACCAAAGCCAGTACCAGAAGGAGATGAATGGTTTATGCTGGGACAGAAGGGGCCAGGAAGTTCTGAATTCACCCCACTCCCAGGAGAACAAGGAAAACCACACCCTTGCCTCTGGCCCATCTTGAAAAAATGGATGAGATCAGTTTTAGCCAAAAGGTGCAAAAAGCTTGTGACTAGGGACAGGCAGAAAGAGGGTGGAGATGGGGTGGGAGAAGGGCTCATTCTGTCAGAACATCTCTCAACTCCCTTTCTCTCCTTGGAAAAGGAGAACTCAGGCTGCTCCTGAAGCAATGAACGGAGCACAGGCACTGGAAATTAGAAGCAGAAATGGGATCCCAGCTCAGCCTTCTTAGCAAAACCAACTCCCTAAACATCTGTTTCCTAAACTGTAACATGGGGCAAGTATGAGGATATAAAGCACCTGACATAGACTGGGGTGTTCAACAGCTAAATATTAGGGAGCACTGTAGCATCATCATGAATGAGAAGTTAGAGGATACAAGTCCCCTAACCAGGTGTCTCTATGGTCCAGAAGTTCTCTCTGGACCTGGAATGCACACTGTTCTTTGAGGTGGGACCATGGTGAGGCTTGAAAGTGAGGGGGCACTTGCCTGCCCCTGCCCAGTTTCTCCGGTTGAGGTATCTCTGTCCTGGCCCAAAGATGTGGAAGTAATCCACTATCCAACCATCCCTTCCTGTGCCGCCATGATCCTGAGAAAAAAAACACAGGAGAGGTCAGCTTTGCTACCGGGGGAGGTACACATTGCAGACTTCTCTCTGGGGTTGTCAGGACAGGGAGGAGAAAGAGGTCCCAGACTGGGGAAATGGAGCTAGACAGATTAAATAAGCACGGAAACCTTTGTCCTACTCATGTAGCGGCCACCTAGCTTGGCAGTTAAGGTTCAGTCTCAACTGCCAGACATTCTGCATACCAGTTCCAACTCTGCCACTAACAAACTGGGTGATAACTTGTAATTTTCACAAATTTTCTAAGTCTTGGTTTCTTCATTAATAAAATGAGAGTTGCTGTGGGCCTTGAGGGTTGGAGTCCTGATGGCACAGTGGGTTAAGCACCAGACTGCTAACCAATTCAAACCCATAAATGTTTACAATCTTGAAGGCCCTATAGAGCAGTGGTGTTGTTAAGTGCCATTTAGTCAGTTCCGACTCTTGGCAACTCTGTATAGCGTTTTCTAGAAGCGACTGGTGGGTTTAAATTGCCCACCTTGTGATTAGCAGTCCAGTGCTTATCCTACAGTGCCACACCAGGACTCCAAGGAACAGTTCTACTGGGTCCTATTATAGGGTGACTCACTATGAGATGACTTGATTTGATAGCAGTGGGTTTGAGTCTTAAATGAAGTAGTTCAGGTACAAGGGCTGGCACTGTAAACAAGGTAAATATTATATTGACTTAAATGAAAACATTACTTTCCACAAATGATGGTTGTACAGATTGAAGAATTCTTATAAAATTGGAGATAAAAATTCTCAAAAGCATGTACACCATGTTATTTTAACTTAAAAACAAACTCAAGTACGTCCCTTTTCTTCCTTTTTCTTTGGCTCCCTTCTTGTTATAAAAGTTGCCTGAGTAGACAGCAGATACACACAACTATGGTACATACAGCCGCTGCTACGGTGTGCTGACAAGTTAGTTCTAATTCCTATGACTTTGTGTAGAGTTTCCAAGGCTGTAAATATTTATGGGAGTAGAAAATCTCATCTTTGTCCCATGGAGTGGCTGGTGGATTCCAAGTGCTGGCTTTGCAGTTAGCAGACTAAAACATAACCCACTACACCACCAGAGCTCCCCATACATGTACTGCATACACACAAACGTCAAGACGACAAAACACTCCAAGACTTGTTCACAGAGCAACACTTAGAAGCTCCCATCTTTCCCTGGCCACCATACACACTATTGATACATCTCTTTGGTCAGTTGGTGTTGTTAGGTACCATGGAGTTGATTCCAACTCATAGCGACCTTATGTGATAGTAGGACAGTAGAACTCTCCCATAGGGAGAGGGTGTAGGATAAGCACTAGACTACTAATGGCAAGGTTGGCAGTTCAAACCCACCAGTTGATTCTTGAAAACCCTATACAGGATGGCTGAGTCCGATCCAACTCAAAGGCACTTTAACAACAACAATCTTTACCAGCAATCCTGGTGTGGCACTGTAGGATAAACCTCAAGGTGGTTCAAATCCACTCTCAGTCACCTATTCAGGGTCACTAACAACAGCAACACCAGTTTTTCCTGAAGCAAATCTCTAGGTCTTTCTATGAGAGTTATGGCTGGGTGGGTTTCAATCACTAACCTTTTGGTTAGCAGTCCATCAAGGCCTCTATAGACAGACAGTTGTAACCATCTGTAAATGGCCTTAGAATCTTTGATCCTGTGGAAGTACTCTGCCAAGAAGTGGTCCAAGTCCAAGAGGGAAAAGGCATGGGGAAAAACAGGCACCGTGAAGTCCCCAGATTGAGAGGAGGTCTAGAATATTCTTGCAACTATCACATCACAGGGTGGAAGGCAGCTGGACTAGCTGGTCAAGTCAGGTCACTTTGCCTTGTTTACTGACGTCACAACAGTTTTCGCATTTTTAAGAATTTGCAGCTGGAGGGCCCCAGGCTGATGGGTCAGTGAAGTTACAAAGGGCAATGAAACCGACTCGTTTGGGAAAGATGAGTTTTGAGTTTGGCTTCCTACCCGGTCAGAAACCCCAAAGATTGTTCTCACACTCAGGGGTAGGTGGTGAATTCTCTGAGCTAACTGAACTCAAGCTCAAATCCTTTCACCTCCTGACTCCAGTTCCGAGTTTCAATAATAAAAAAACAAAAAACAGCGATAAGAATGGGGGAACCTCCCTGGTGGTGAGGGCGCTGGAATGATAATCCCAGATTTGGGGACTAAATTACTGGAAGTTGGCCTGCCACCAGGGCCACTCTCTGCAGGGTCCACGCTCCTCTCTACCTGTTCAGTTTTCCGCAAAACTGGCGGAACCACGTGGCTCTGGAAGTATCGGCGGGCGTGGCAGTCCTGCTGCGCGTTGTATGGCGGGATCGCTGACCAGAGCTTGGGCCTCATGCGCTCATAAGTACGGGCCATGGTGCTCACTGCCACCCCATCCAAAATGAAACCCTTCTCCAGCCTCAGAGGACACTCGTAGACGTGCGCCATCCTAACCACAGAAACCTGGGAGGGTCTTTCTGGTAGGAGTGAAGAACCAGCGCGCACTAGCACTATTACGCGGTCCACTCTTAAAAGAACCCAGCGACACAAACGGTATTGTCCTCACCAGATCTGGAATGACCAATAGGGAACCCTGAGATTAGGGTGACCAACTATGTAAGAATGGGAGATTGCATGTAGTAGAGCCCAGCACCAAAAGTTTTCCTTTATAACGAGCAGGGAGGTGGTGTCTTTTCCCAACTTCACTCACTCACTCATAAAGACCTCCTTGGAGTCCTGGTGTGGCGCACAGGGTAAGCACTAGGCTGCTAATCACAAGTATGAGTTGCGACTCACTCTACATACTTTAATAGGATCTCCAAGGCCATAAATCGCTATGAACATATAAGAGCTTCCCTCTGGTAGGTTCAAACTGCCAACCTTTTGAAACTAAGCAGCTAGCTGTTGTGCCATTAGGGTTCAAAAAGCTTGTGTTCAGAATGGGCAGTTCAGAAAAAATTTACTTCCTAATCTCAGGGCTGGGAGTTGAAGCTCAGACTCCCTAAATCCAGCTAGCGACAATGCCAGAACCAAAATCCAGACTTGACTTCATCAGTACACTTGCATTTCTTCCCATCCCACAATTTTCTTCAGCTTGTATTGCTATTAAGCACTGAAAACTGAATGGAGCAGTTCTTACACATGGTGTTAATCCAAATCAGTGAGTCCACTTCTCCTACAGGTTCTGGATATACTACTCATGGGTTGTACAATCTCAATTTATCAGGCAGAATTACATATTCAGAGTTTGTTATGTGCCATGGAGTAGGTTCCAACTCTTCATTTTCACACTAGGTCTTCAAGGGTGAACTACACATAATTGTGGTGGTGTGCTGTGGAGTTGGTTCTGACTCATAGTGACCCTGTACAGGATTTCCGCAGCTGTAAATTTTTACCGGAGCAGAAAGCCTCATCTTTTTCCTCAGAACAGCTCATTTACCCAACAGCAAAAACATGCAAGCAGGGTCGATTATTTTCCCTGAGTAAATTTACATGGCAATCACCATGTGTCAGGTGCTACACTAACATAAACACCTGATTCCTACCCACTTGATGACTTTTCCAGGATCGAACTCCTACATTGTAAATTCTTGGCAAGGTTTGTTGCTGTTAAGTTCCATGGAGTCCATTCTGACTAATAGTACCCTGTATAGGGCTTTAAAAGGAGCTCTGGTAGCATAGTGGTTACAAATCAGGCTGGAACCACAAGGTCAGCAGTTCGAAACTACCAGCTGTTCCATGGTAGAAAAATGAGGCTTTCTGCTCCCGGAAAGATTTACAGTCTTGGAAACCCCGTTACAGGGTCACTATGAGTCAGAACTGACTCCACAGCACAGAACAACACAGGGTTTTGAAGGAGCAGTTGGTGGGTTTGAACTGCTGACACTGGTTTGCTGATCCTACAGCACCACACCAGGAACACCCTGGGGCAAGGGTTAGGTGGCTGCAAGAACTGACAGGTTTCAGAAATGAACAAGGCAAACAATTTTTCAAGTGGGGTGTAGTTTTATTTATTTTTACAAATATACTGGAGAATCATGCAATGCTGCCGGCATTGGATGCAATCCTGGGCCACAAGTCCGCACACTCCTTGGCAACTGGTCCAGTGATGGCAGAACCTGCATAAAAGAAAAAGGTGTAAAGGCTCAGTCCCTCACTTGTAGACCAGAGTTAAACCATCCCATCTCAGAAAACTAGGGAATGATGAGCAGTTTTACCTTTCATTTCACCTTTATTGTTTACTATGACCCCAGCATTGTCTTCAAAATAAAGGAACACACCATCCTTTCTTCGGTATGACTTCCGCTGTCGTATTACCACTGCGGGATGTACTAGTGGGGGAGGAAAGGAGAGCAGTCATTAATTGGTCAAGTCTCAATGACACCACAGAAGCAGTTTCATCTTATAGCGATCCTGTATAGACAGGGCTTCTGAGAGCAGTTCATGTATTTGAACTGTAACTACAAAGTTACCAGTCCAGTACTTATTCTACAGCGACATACCAGGGATCCCCCCAAATTCCTTTCCCTGTTTGGACAGAATGTACACACATTAGCTCTTCTTGCATCACAACCCTGTATAGGGTTTCCAAGGATACAAATCTGTATGGTAACCTGCTTCTGTAAAGACTTAGTCTCACGAACACTATAGGAAGTTTTATGCTGCCTACAGGGTAGTTATGAGCCCAAAGCTATTTGAGGGCAGAGGGTTTGGTTTTTAGTTTAGGCAACATTCCATCTCAGTATAGACAGTATAGGAAAGCTCTGGTGTGGCGCTGTAGGTTAATGCACTGGGCTGCAAGGTCAGTTTGAACTGCAAGGTTGGCAGTTCAAACTCACCAGCAGCTCCGGTGGCACTTAACAACATACTCTTAGGGTATATACTTATCTATGTTGTTAAGTGCTGTCAAGTTAGTTCCAACCCATAGGGACCATTTATAGGATTAATGATCATCTCTTAAAGATCTGAGCAACGGAAATCCAAGTATTTCTTGTGTAATTAAATAAGAAATTTAAAAACAAATGCATTACGCTATCAAAATATTTGCAAAGACTATAAGAATATGCTTAAAATTACTTCAGGATAGGTTAAATGTATTTTGGTAAAAATAAGTTACAAAATACAGAGAAAAGGGTTTTCAATGAGCCATGTAAATAAACTATTTTTCTAGGTTTTCAAATGCATAACAAGCAGTAGATTATTGTATTCTTTAAAGAAGACAGTAAATTAAAGCTGAAGGAACTACTTTATTGATTCAGACATGCCTGGGTTCAAAGTCTAATTAATATTAGTTTAGCAACTGTATTATTTATCTTTTGAATTTCAAATTTTCCTCTGGTAAAACAGGAAATGGACACACAGGCAGTTCCCAGAATACAAAATAGTTTCATTCCCAAATCTGTATTTTTAGTCGAATTTGTACATTAAGTTGAAATAGTCTAATGTCAGATGTTTGAGTATACAATGTACACACACACAAATGAAACACTTTCAAACACACGAAAACACCTGTAACGTATACTATCACAACAAATATATCATTCACTCCTTATGGCTAAATATCCTCTTGTAGGCATATACCATTTTGGCAATCCATTCACAGTAGATTAATAGGATAAGTGTCCTCTCCTGTGTCCCATCACTGAGATCAACCTGCTGCTATCTTACTCAATGTGATGGTCCTTTGCTTTCCCCTTCCCTGACAGCTCTCCAGGTCACTGATTGGACCTAGCAAGTGTTCTAAAAGGAATGCCGTCCACTTGCACCGTCATCTCAACCAACGCACGACACTTCCAATGCCTATCAAGTCTTCAAGAGAATAAAGATTTCTGATCAAAAAGCTAAAAATCTAGAGGGGGATGTAAGGACACAAGATTAACAGTATCACATTTATCCTGTATGTCAAGGATGGTAGGCCTTCTCTAGAACATGATACTCCAGCAGAGAAACAAAAGTTCAGTAGCTGCTATGTAAGTATGTTATTACGTGCCATCAAGTGGGTTTAAACTACTAACCTTGTCAGCCCAGTGCTGATCCTACAGTGCTAAACTAGGAGCCCTATAAAAACCTAAAGCCAGTGTTTCTACACCCTCTTTCCAAAAAAGCTTCTCAAAGCATAACAAAGAATAGTATGTTACACGGTCATTTACAAAGTGCTAGAAAACAGGCTCTGGTAGCACAGTGGATTATGAGTTGAGCTGCTAACCAAAAGGTCAGCAGTTCGCATCTACCAGTCACCATTCTGTGTGAGAAAGATGAGGCTTTCTGCTCCCATGAAGATTTACAACTTCTGAGACCCCATACAGGGCCACTATAGTCGAAATCTACCCCATGGTACATAACCACCACCAGACAACAGGCCGGATGTTCTATATACTCAGTAGTACTTCATTAGGTGATTCTCACTACTTGAGAAAATACCACAGTTCTTATCTACTATATGCTAGGTAGAGTCCTGGTGTGGTGCTGTAGGGGCAAGCACTGGACTGCTAAACACAAGGTGTTGTCAATGAATGGGCAATAAACTAAAGATGTGTTCGCATGGAACTTTATGTAGAACTTTTAAGGGAAAGATATAATAATAAGAAACCATAGTAATTACCACCTGGATATGTGTTGATGGGGAGATATCAAAAAGTGAGCTATAGATTTTATAGGTGAGAACTATAGTTTCATTTCCCAGTAAAGGAGATGTCTTTCAGCTGTTCACCAGGAGATGACCATGAGGAATCAGTCTCTACTTACCCTTTTTCCTGAGCTCTGGTTTCCCTTTCTTGACGGTGGCCATCACCATGTCACCCACACCAGCAGCGGGAAGTCTGTTCAGTCGTCCCTTGATCCCCTTCACAGAGATGATATACAGATTTTTGGCTCCTATAAAATTATAAACGAAAATCCTACTCTTCTAGGGTCTGCAGACAATTCCATCTATGTAACATTCAGTCCAGCGCCTTTCTACCCACTCACTCCAGTTGGTCCCCTAGGTGGAAGACCTTGTCACACCACCGATTGAAGCAAAACAACACAAGATGCTGCCACTTCACCCAAAAGCGGTGTTTTTATTTTGCCCTTTCTTGACGGCTCAGTGGGTCACTAGCAAAAGGCCCAATGAGTGCTTTAAAAAGGGGGAGTGCAACAACGACCCCCAAGGCCTCACCTGTGTTGTCAGCACAGTTTATCACGGCTCCTACTGGAAGACCCAGGGAAATCCGGAATTTTGCACCGGAGGACCCACCACGTCCTGTGATCAAGAGAAAGAGGTCATTGTCAAACGCTGCTATAAATTCCCGCAAGCTTATTACAAGTTAGCTCTTTGTATGTAGCTCTCCCTCCATAGATCACCAGATTCTCACAGCACATTTCTCACTAACACTTTCAAAACTAGGCAGCTTGAAAGAATAAATTCTTTGCTTCGACTTTTAAACTACACAGTCCCACCACTAACAATTGAGATTTCACAGGTCTGCCTGATTTGAGAGTTAAGACCGTCGAACGCCCATTACTTCAACGTTATCAGCGTAGCGATCCCACTGGGTTCGGTTTAAAGTCAAGTGAGCATCCTGCTAGGTCAGCGCTCCAAAACGCAATCGCCTCCCCCGGGCCACTTTCGGGATCCCTCCCCAGAGCTCTCGGGGAGCCTCGCTTCTGTCTCCGGCCCCAAGGAAAGTGGAGTGCCCAAGCTGCCCAGTATAGTCGTTCCCGCCGTAGCCAGCAGTCATCATGCGCCAGATGGCGGAAGATTCTTCAAAGCCCAAACCTCACCTCGCTTCGACATCTTGAAGGCCGGAAAAAGACGAAAAGGAAGTAGGAACAAAGGACATTGGGATATAAACTTAAAAAAAAACCCTCCCACTTTCCTGTCATGTGACCCAGCGCTTGTTAAGCCCGCCTCTTCCCCCAGGGCGCTGGCTGATTACGTAAGAAGTCCTGGGCCTGGACCAAAGGGACTACCTGGAAAGTCGGTATCGGAGGTTTTGCGAACCGTAGAAACGGTAGAAACCCTCCCACTCTAAGTGATCGAAAGTAGTTGAGGACACCGAAACATTGCTTTGTTAAAAACATCCTTTTCGTGTGCGTGTGTGTGGACTTAATACATGGCAGGCATTTCTTCAGACACTAAAGATTCAGAGTGTCTGTAGCGGCCTCCAGAATAGGACATAAGGGAAAGAACTCCATACAGTTTAATTAGAATGTGTTAAAATACCTAGTCTTCACACAGTGGCCATGAATAATTTTTTCATGCAACTATTACCATGTTATTTTTGCTAAGTGATTCAGGGATCCTATATAGGGTTTCCAAGGACCTGCTGGTGGGTTTGAACTATCAACTTCACGGTTAGCAGTCCAGTGCTTATTCTACAGCGCCACACCAGGCGATCTCATCTCACACTCACTAGCTGCTCTGATGAAGAAAAATGAGGCAGTCAGTGGTTGTCTGCTCTTGTAAAGATTGACTGTCTGAAATTTAAGGAGCACTAACTATTGTATGCTTGATTTGGTTGGTCATGTGCCATGGAGTCTGTTCAGACTCATAGGCAGTCTGTACAGAGTACAGGGTTTCCGAGGCTGTAAATCTAGGAAGCCTCATCTTTCTCCCGCGGAGCGGCTGGTAGTTTCGAACCGCTGACCTTAATGTTCGCAGCCCAATTCGTAACCACTACGCTACCAGAGCTCCTTTCTTTATTCATTGAGGCTATTGAAAATACCATGGCTTGGGTCAGGTGCTCCTTAGTCTTCAAACTGGTATCTTTGCTCTTGAACACTTTAAAGTGGTCTTGTGCAGCAGATTTGCCTAATGTAATACATTGCCTGATTTCTTTGGTCTAGCATCACTAAATCTAGGTGAAGATTTTTGTCTTCTTTGCATTGAGGTGCATCCCATTCTGAAGGCTCTAGTTTTACTTCAATAAATATTTTAAGTCCTCTTCACTTTCAGCAAGCAAGGCTGTACCACCTGCATATCACAGATTGTTAATGAATCTTCCTCCAATCCTGATGCCACAGCACTATTCATAATAGGCAATGGTGGAAACAGCCCAAATGTATATCAGTGGATGAATTGGTAAACAAATTGTGATTTATGAATGTAATGGGGTATTATATAGCCTGAAAAGGAACAAAATACTGATACATGTTACATTGTGGATGAACCTTGAAACTAGGTTAGGTAAAAGAAACCAGACATAAGAGATTACATATTGTATCATTCCAATTTGAAGAGATATCCAGACTAGGTAAATTCAGAGAGACAGAAAGCAGATTGGTGGTTGCTGGGGACTGGAGGAAGGGGAGTATAAGGAGCAACTGTTTGAGCCTAGGATTTTGTTTTGAAGTGATGGAAATGTTGTGGAACTAATAGAGGTGGTTTTTGCTCAAGTCTGTGGATGTGTTAAATGCTACTGAATTGTGCACTTCAAAATGGTTACGTTAGCAGACAGTACCCATTTGACCCAGTGTCAATGGCTTGGTAATCAAAACTTGAATAGAAGAAGATTAAAAAAAAAAAAAAGAACAAAACAATGTTTGATAAAGAAAACAAGGGTAAATTGCTACAATTTGATGAACTTGATCTACACTCATGGAGGTAGTAGCTCAAAATACCAACAGAGAGGGAAGGAGTCTTCACATCAAATTTCAGTGATAGCCCCTCTGTACAAGGGTAGGTAGGGATGGGCAATTTAGACATTGGCTACCTAGAATGAGGGGGCGATAAAGGCATGAAGTGACTGGCTAATGAGGTTTCAAGAGGGAGTTTAAGAGTGTGTGAGGGAAGATGGAGTCCCCACTGAATAGTTTTCATCTTGTCTAAATGGGTCTGGTAAAAAGAGATGGGGATAAGATTCTTATGATTCAATAGTGAGTAATTGTTATGATGACAAGTGAGACTGTCACAATTGTAAAGGTAGAAGTTTTGTAACAAAAACGGGGGAGTAGCTAATCTTACAATCTAGAAATAGAGGACCCTAGGACCATCAAGGGAGAAGACCACAAGCAGAAAGTGGGACCCTATCCAGAGAAGCAGCAACTCCAGAGATGGAGGACATGGAGAGAGGGAGCAGCTAAGGACTCTAGATTCATGGAAAGAGAGGACTATGAGCTGGTGGCCAGGAGGCAGACTTACAGAATGTGCCCTTTGGTGGTGTAAATTATTATATATGCATGAGAGCTAAAATGAATAGAGAGAAATACTGTTAACTGATGGTACATGAGGGGATTATAATTATTGTAATGAAACAAAGTATATGATTTGTTGAATGTAAAGCTGATGATCTGCCCTGTAAACTTTCACTCTGTTTACAATAAAAACTTTTAAAAAAATGGTTATGTTATATTAACTTTTAAATAAAGCTTTTAAAAAAATCCATAACATGGCCTTCTAGGTCCTGCTTTGCAGAAGTGTTTTTTCAGTTACAGATACTTTTCATGTTCTTATCTATGGGCTTCACACATGCCTGGATATACATACATATATATATATATATATATATATAATATATATATATATATGTATATATGATGTATGTGTGTATTTGAAATATATATTATATATATACATATATAATACATATGTATTATACATATACATATGTATTATATATGTATATATATTATATATGTATATACATAATACATATGTATATATAATACATATGTGTATATATATCCTCTTTAAAGTGTTCAACAGCAAAGATGTCAGTTTGAGGGCTAAGGTGTGCCTGACCCAAGTTATAGTATTTTCAATAACCTCATTTTGAAATTCATGCGAAAGCAGGACAGTGAATAAAGAAGACTGTAGAAGAATTGATGTATTTGAGTTGTGGTGTTGGAGGAGAATATTAAAAGTACTATGGACTGCCAAAAGAACAATCCATTGGTGTCAGAAGAAGTACAGCCAGAATGCTCCTTGGAAGCCAGGATGGCCAGACTTTGTCTCTCATACTTCAGACATATTATCAGGAGAGTCACTAGAGGACATCATGTTTGGTGTAGTGGAGGGTTGGAGGAAAAGAGAAAGACTCCCAATGAGATGGAGTGGCACAGTGGCAGCAGCAATGGGCTCAAGCCAAGCGTAGCAATGATTGTGAGGTTGGCACAGGACTGGGCAGCAGTGTGTCAGTTGTACATAGGGTCGTTATGAGTCGGTAAGGAGCTCTGGTAGTTACTGGTTATGAGTCAGGCTGTTAATCTCACAGCTGTTTGAAACTACTGGCAGTTCCGTGGGAAAAAGATGAGGCTTTCTGCTCCCTAAAGATTTACAGTCTTGGAAACCCTATGCGGGGTCGCTATGAGTCAGAACCAACTCCACGGCACACCACCACTACCATGATGGCACCTAACAACAACAACGTATAAATAAAAGTGAAAAAAAAATATGATGGAGAGGGAGTTCTGGTGTGACGCCGCATGATAGTACACTGGACCCTAAGGCCAGTTTGAACCCCAAGGTTGGCAGTTCAAACCCACCAGCCTCTCCTCAAAAACCCTATACAGAGTTGCTATGGATCGGAACTGACTTGACAGCACTTAACAACAACAGAAATATATATATATCCATAGAGACAACAACAATGTTGTTGTCATTAAGTGCTGTTGGATAGTACATTGGACCCTAAGGCCAGTTTGAACCCCAAGGTTGGCAGTTCAAACCCACCAGCCTCTCCTCGAAAACCCTATACAGAGTTGCTATGGATCGGAACTGACTTGACAGCACTTAACAACAGCAACAGAAATATATATATATATCCATAGAGACCCTGTATAGGGTTTACAAGGAATGGCTGGTAGGTTTAAATTGCTGACCTTGTAATTAATAGTCCAGTGCTTATCCTACAGGCACCATACCAGGAAAATAGATGGATAGTGAATTTGTTTAAAATGGTCATTTTTATCTCCAACGAGTTATTCCTGTTATAGACACCTATTTCCAATTGTAACTGGGACATAGCCACCTCAAAGATACTTCAGATGCAGCATGCCCAAACAGAAATAATGATTTCCCCCAGAATTTGATCTTTTGCCTGTATTAGTTTTCTTGGTTTGTGCTACCTTCACTGTCTCAATCCAGAAAGCTGACACATAATTGATCTTCTTCTTCTCCCTGCCCCACTTCCTTATGGTTCAGAACTCTCACATGAACTATTCCAACAGCCTTTGAAAGGTCTGGCCATAGTTTTCCTGTCTTAAAACCCTGTGCTTATATATATTTAAAAAGTCCAAGCTCTTTGCACAACACAGCATTGGCGTCTCTTCAGGAAATGACCTAGGACTTCCCCAGCGTCATCACTTTGAACTGTGCTTCTTACGCTTCAGACTCCAGCAACCCTAAATTGCTTAGGATTACACATCTCCTCGTATTTATTTGTTCATGCTCTTTCTTGCTTTATCGACTATGAGTTCTTCTACATATTTCTCAAATACTGCCTCTTCCCGACGCCATTTAATAATCCAGCAGTTTCTCCCTAGAGCCACCACTTTACTTAGAGCAGCAGTTCTCAAATATATAAATTTTAACCTTAATAACCTTAACACTCTTACATTATTGAGTTTTGGTTTATATGAGTTACATCTGTTGACATTTACCAAATTCAAAATTTAAAATGGGTCCAATTTCAGTTTATTATGATTTTACAAGGACTGTGTGGAAGCAAAGTGGCTCTATAGGATAGAAGGCACTTAACAACAACAACAATTTGGGATTCTTTTTTGGTTATGAAATTGTCAGTGGGGTAAACAGTACTAGTTTTCTTCTGCTTTCAGAATTTCTAGTTGGCCCTAGCTTAAACTGTACAAATTTAATATTTTCCATTTTGTCTTTCATGTTGTTCTTTTGAG